GTGTTTTGCCGAGCAGGCCACCACGTCTTCCTCCTCGCCCCACTCGCGCACTGCTGTGCACACGGACCAGGGCAACAACAGTGAGCGCCTGCAGAATGATGCCTGCAAGTTTGTGCTCTTAGGATTCCCGCGCCCACTTCTAATTGACGATGTCAAGGAGATCAGTGCTCGATGTGTCGCTCAGTTTGCTCCGCAACCTGCTCACGGTAATATCGTTATTCGTGCTTTCGGTCTCTCGAAGAAGGTTTCGTTCTTGGCTGAAACTGCTAGCGCTGCCAGTTCATTGTTAGATAACCTCGCGCGTTCAGGTGGTGCCTGGACTACGCCCGACCCCCTTCCACCCTGATGCCCCCCTTTTCACTCCGCTTGCGCAGACACCCTGGTATTATCTCGAGGCAGCTATTCCTGTCGCTTGGAAATGTTCGATCGGTGTTGACGCAGGCCCTTGCCCCTAGGCATGACGTCGGCAGTGCAGGCCCCGGGGGATCTGCATATATCATGCGGCGCCAACATGACCCCGTGCCCTCTGTTAAGGTGCAAGTCGATGCGGCTGGGGGTGCCTCTTGTGCATGCGATCGTGACATCTTTGTTGAGTTCGGAATCAGTTCTTTGATTCTAGAAGTGCAAGCCGCCGCGGGCATTCAGCTTCGCCGCCCCTTTTCGCGCTGAGGAGGGCTGCGAGCACGGCGATGTTCCCGACTTTTCTGCCCCTTCTCCCCCCTGTCTGCTTGGTTCCCTTTTCTCCCCCCGTCCGCGTTGTCTCTCTGTTCTTGGAACGCCGATGCGCTTTTCGCCTCAGTCAGAACCACTGCATGAAGGGCCTCGGCTCGACGCAGAACACGCATGCGATTGCGCAGCACGCACGACACTACAGCAGCTCAGGAGACGCATGGGCGCAGGGGTGACATTACTGAATTGGAGCGTGAACGACCTCGCCATGCTTTTGCATCTTCATTCGTGCCTGGCTCGTCCGGCGAAGGCGGCGTCGTCGCGGCCTTATCGCACCCCTTCCTTTCTTGTTTCTCCGCAGTCGAGCGCTCGGAACTGATCGCGGGGAGGATCATGAAGAGTCTGCTCAAGGGTCAGCATGTTCAGTTGATTGTGCACAATCTGCACATGCCTGATACTTCGAACACGTTTGCCCTGTGCGATGGGGCCCCGCGCGTTCTTCAGCGCGACGCTGCTCGCTACCTGCCTGATGGAGATGGGGATCTCTCTCGTATTTTTCTCCTGGGTGACTGGAATCTTGTTCTGGAGGAGGAGGGTCGCTTTGCTGGCGATGGAAGTGGGTTCGCTCCCGGGGATAACCGCCATTCTAGATTGTTCCTTCGTTTGTTCCGTCAATTCACTGAGCTGCGCCAGAATCAAGACACCGGAAGGGGAAGAAGGGGGCGTGCGGCCGCGCAAACTGCCCGTCTGGATCGTCTATACACCTCGTTGCCGCTTGCCCTGATCAGAGACTTAACCATTTCTATTTCCACCATTGGCAGTCGGCACTCTCTGATGCTGAGTGGCCACGCCCCGGTTCAGCCCACGACCGAGAGGTTCCGACCCGATCCCAGGCAGCCCATCATTCTTCCGCGGATTGCTGGGCTGACTGAGGTCAGTCAGGCAGTGGAGACGCTCTCGGGGATTATTCCTGAGTGTTGGGGCGCTTGTAGGCGCCTTTCTCTGGCCGCGGATGTTTTTTGTGGCTGGTCGCTCTGCTCGGCAGTCTGCGCATGCGCGCGAGGCTCGCACGCGCCAGGAGAGGCGCTTCTGCGCGATGTCTGCACTCCGCGCGGCCATACTGGACGACCCCCGCCGCGCGCGCTCTGCAGCTACTGCGCACCCGCGGCTGGCGGCGCACTATGATAAAGAGTACGCCTGCATGAACCTGCGCGGTTTAACGCGGCACGCGCACTGCCTCTACCTGAAGGCGTTGCAGGAGGACGAAAGGGATTTGCTGCAAGCTGACTTGGATGATATGCACCGACGTGCTCTCGCAGCCCGTCATCGGCGCCGCCGGCTGTTGCGGGGTCACGGATGCCACTCGTAGTCCCTGTGGGGCCTTGGAGGGGTCGGCCATTGTCTTGGGTGATCACTGGGCTCAGACTTTCCAGCGTTCTTCGGTTTCAGAGTCGCTTTGGGACGAAATCAACCCACATACCCAGACGCTTCCTTCACTCCCCATCGATGCCGCATGGGAACTTGATTGCGCATCTTGGCATGACATGATACGCAGGCGCCCCCGCCGCATTCCTGGCCCCGACGGGGTCCCATATGCAGTTTGGAGGCCCCCTGCTGCCTCGCGCGTCCTGTGCTCCTGCTACCTGGCACTGTTCACAGGTCAGGTCGGTCGGCTTCCTGCGGACATGCTTTGCAGTTTGCTGGTTTTCCTTCCTAGGGGAGCTGGCCCGCTGGGCCAGCCTGGCTGCCCACTGACGCGTGCCCCTGCTTCCACTCGTCCACTGAGTATGAGCAATGCTGATGTTACGTTGCTTGCGACTGCCCTCGTCTCTCTGGCGGTGAAGCACGCGCGTGACTTACTGGGGAAGGAACAGACATGCGTTGGACGCGGGGGCATGATCGAGAACGTGGCGAGGGCGGAGGCGCGGGGGCTTGTGCGGCACCTCTGCGACGACGCGAGCTCTGCCATTCTTCTGACCGGTTTCGCGTCGGCGTTCCCGAGCTTGTCGCAGGCCTGGCTCTTCCACGCGTTGGAGATCACGGAGTTGCCTGCCTTCCCCGTTCGCTTCTTTCGCATGATGCACGATGACAATGTTGCTATTGTCGCGGTCGGTGGGAGAAGGTTCCAAACTATTTCGATCTAGGCTGGGGTTAAACAAGGTTGCCCTGCGTCGACGTTCCTTTGCGCATTGGCGGTCGGCCCCCTCCTGCGTTGGATGCGTCATCGATGCTCGCAACGTGTATCTTTCAATCTTGCGTATGTGGACGACTTTCTCTTTGGCCTGATGAATGTGCTCGCGGATCTAGACCCGCTCCTGTCTGCGATGACGCAGCTCGTGCCCAGAGCTAACCTTCGGCTGAACTTTACGAAATGCCAGCTGATACTGCGCGGAGGTCTCGACTGTGCCCGTCTTTCGACCGCGCAGGCGAGTCATGGGGGCCCGTTTGCGGATATTCAATTCGATTTGGCACGCTCCTGAGCTGGGCCGGCTGTTGCGGGCGCCGTCGGCCCAACAGGTCCAGCTCCACATGTGCCAGTTCGGGGCCCCGTGGCGACCAGAGTCGCCGCGCGGCACTCGCTTCCCTTGCTGAATATCGGCATTCGCTGCTCTGTTTGATCTGGTACCTATTCGAAGACTCCAAAACCACATGTGGTTATATCCGGTCACGCTCCTCAGGGTCCTCACTATACCCGCTTCGTTGCTGAATGCCCAACAGCTTTCGCTCAGAAGTTCGGCCGTGCTATGCAGCGATCGTTCGAAGATAAACAGACTCGAAGGTTTATTGAATCTGCGACAGACGTATCGATGGTTTCTTGAATATATTCCTCCTCTTCGCTGCGTTGAAGGTATACCAATTCACCATGCGGGTGCGGTTGTGTGCTCTCGGCTTGGCGTCCCTCGGCGTCGATGTCTCGAAGGTACCGGCCTGGTCGCCACCCACACAAACAGCAGCCTTGCGGGAATGAAGGGTTTGCGAGCTGTCACATGTCACATGCTTAGGCAAAATCAGCCCATCCTGGATCCCGCCGCAACTGCCACGCTCAAGTCTTCCCTCCCTCCCTCCCTCTCTCGCGTACCTCTGTGGGTGTGTTGTGTCATGTGTCCTCTCCTCTCTTTCTCCCCTCTGTCTTGCACTGCTCAGCAAGCTGCAAACGCAACTTCTTAATGCAGGATGTGTGCTGTCGGCTTGACGTCCCTCGGGGTCGATCTCTCGAAGCTACCGGAGTGGTCGCCACTCACACACGCAAAGAAGCCTGGCTGGAGTGAAGGATGTGCGAGCTGCCTATATCTATATATATATATATATATTTGTATATATACATATTCATACATATATACATATATATGTATATAAGCGAGTCACTTCTGTTCCCGCCACAGGGCACATTACCGACAGCAGCCGCGAAACACAATTGTCATCCGACTCGGCCCACTTCTGCACCACTGGGTTTTAGCAGTCGGAGAAATCGCGGGGCGCTCGGCATAAGCCCATCTGAGCCCCTGTCCCGCTAAAAAGGTCGATTCTTCCGTCACAACATGCAAAACGGTCGCTTATGTTTGCAAAGGCGCTGTCGCAATCAAAATTAGCTGTCACATGTGATGCTTTGGCCTCTTCGCAACGCCATTGTGCTGCCTGCAGTGGAAGGATATCCTCCTTCCTCCCGCGATGTTTTAGTCCGTTCGACCAGTCTGCCGGGTTACTGCCTTCGCTCTCTTGTGTATGCCCGGATGCCATGCCATGTCCCAGCTGCAATAGTTATTCATCACGCGTTGCCGCAGTATTCCCCCACTTCCGTTGTTTTTGCTACTGGCAAAGCTCTGGGCCCTCAATGTATCTAGTGGCATTCAGTTTGTCCGTCGGACCAGTAAGAACCATGTGTCCACCTGTTGTTGGAAGTAGGGCGCCGTATACACGTCTTTGTTCGCTCCGACCCCCGCGCCTGCAGCACGCTCGAAGCACCAGAGTGGCTCCTGCAACACTTCCTTCGCCTCCTGTCCTTCCTCCCTCTGCCTCCTCCCTAAGCTCTCTCCTGGTGACCATCCCATCTTAATGTTGCGATGCCCTTGTTCATCCTCCTCTGCTTCCAACGGGGTTCAAAACCGACGGGCTGGCATAACCCAGAAAAGCCGAATGAGCCCACCACAGGAGTTCAACATCTCTCTCCTCCTCGCCCTCCTCCGCCTCACGTGCCATTCTCACTGCCAGCACATCAGAAGCCCAGGTTGCCCCCCTCATGCTAATATCTGGCGCCAAGATCGATAGTGATGCTTTGCTGGGTACACCCCCCCTGCGGCCATGCTCTCCGTCGCTTGGCGTGCCTGACATAGTTCAACATAGCCGCCCTGTCGCTTCGCATCAAGTGCCGTAGCTCAACATCGTCATATAAGAGCTCCTCATCGTCCTCCTCACACCCTTACTCGTAGTCCCTCCGCACCTTCTCCCATCCTCCTTCCACCTCCTTGCACATCATCCCTCCTTCCTCTGGAGGCTTGCCACGTTCCCTTGCCCAGTCGCTTGCCGTCCAGTAGCACCGTGGAGCGAAGTAGTAACGCTTGTGGTGCCCATGTCCTTCTCTCGCATATTCCACTCTGAGCTCGCGCATGTCCGCTTATCTTCCCTTCGTATAAGTATGTCATATTTCTCCTACCAGATCGAGCCTCCTCCTTCTCACCTCTGCTCTCCTCGACATTTGCAGTAATGCATTCACCTCCTTCAGCCGCTCGCTTACCTCCTCGTACTCCTCATCCCTCCTGCACTCGCGTCCTCTCATCTCCCTCCTTGCTGCCAGCAGCTCCATCCGTGCAGTTCTTAGCTCCTGCTGCCACTCTGGTATGTTCCTTCGCCTGGTTGGGAAATTATCATGTAAAGCATACCGCACGAACTTGCCAATTAGATCCCTAACCTGTCTGGGGTATTCCTGGCGGCTGGTGCGTTCCACTCCTCCTCGGCCACCTCCTTCACCCCCTCCTCTATTCTCTCAAATAGCTCCTCCCTGTCTGTGAATTCCTTCCCTCGCACATCTCATCAACAGGTGTCGGTCCAACTGTGGCTTCCGAGGTATCCTGGTGTAGTTGCGGCACTTCAATCCCAACGGAAGTTGCGTTCCTACCGGTACGTAGTCATGTGGGAATCGTGATCGAATCGTTTGTAACAGCTTGCTTGCGTTTCGCAATGCATTGCAATGCTCCACTAGATCACGCGCACTAGCTAGCCAGCTGGTATGTCAAAGTGATCGATTATTCCTCCTCCGCCTTTCGTTCCAACCATCGTCTGCTGCAGTTGCTTGGCATCAGCTGTAACAATAGATTGCTGTTTCTCCTGGCAGAACTGGCGACATGTTCTTCCGTTGCTCTTCTCTGGGCGTGGCCGTTCTTTCCTTGCTTCCCTCCCCTGCGTGCTTCTCATGTAGCCCGTCTCATCCCTAGCAAGCCCGAAGCCGTTGTTGATATCCCCTCCCACAACAAGCGTAGTATGAACACCTCTTTTGTCGTATATTGTTTCGATCCACGTGCATATCTTGTCCGCCGTTTCCGCACTCCGTTTTTCCGTCGCAGGCACAACATAGACCGCCATTTGTAGTAAGTTTTCCTGTGTTGTCTGGAGTCGTACTGCCCCTACTCTGCCCTGCAATATCGTTGGAGGGCAACATATTTCCTTGTCGGCTGTTCTTGGGAAGCTATGCCCTAGCAATATGACTAATCTGCAACTTTGGTTAGTGTACGTGGACCCTGTCCCCCTATCACATTTAACGCCCCAGTGATTATTAAATTGCACTTGGGTGGTGGGACGGCCGATTTCTGCCCGTTGTTGTGACCCACGTACCAGCACGCAGTCTCACGTCTTCAGCTCTGCACGTATGTTTGCTCCCACGTCTCCAGCTGATGCAAGTGGATTATATGCAGCACACCGTTCCATGGCCGTCCTCCTCCTCCCGCTCCCACTTCCGTCACCTTCCCCCAGGCAGGATAAGAAGAGCAGCCACAGAAGCACAGAGGCAGAGATTAGCAATCGCAGCGCCATGCCCCCCCTCCCACCCCCCAAGCCCAGCTGGTTGCATGCTGGGTTCACTGAAGGGCTGTACTGGCTCCTGTCGCCGCCAGCTGGCCGCCGCTCTCGATCTCTAGCGGCAGCTCGGAGGAGGAGGAGGAGAAGGAGGAGGAGAAGGAGAACAAGAAGGAGGAGGAGAAGGAGGAGGATGGAGGAGGAGGAGGAGGATGGAGGAGGAGGAGGAGGAGGAGGAGGAGGAGGATGGAGGAGGGGGAGGAGAAGGAGGATGAGGAAGGTGGAGGCGGAGGAGCAGGGAGGATGTGGAAGGAGGGGAAGAGGAGGAGGAGGAGGAGGAGGAGGAGGAGGAGGAAGAGAAGGAAGAGGAGGAGGAGGAGAAGGAGGAGGAGGAGGGGGAGGAATAGGAGCTCGACTTGCCCTCGTCGATTGCTGTGTGTTCGCCTGCTGAGCCTGCTGCTAGTGGCCCTGCTCATCCTCCGCGTCCTGTCTCCAAATGTTTCTTCGCGATGCCGTCCCCGAGTCTTGTTAAGGCTATTTGACGCATGTCGTTTCCCTCATCCCACGGCAGGCGGCTTTCGACAGCGATGCGGCATCCAGCTCCACAAAACATGTCAGGGACGCGCTGCATAACTGGTTGCGAGAAGGTGCGCGCGACGATGCGAGTGACCCCCCGTGTCACCGGAAACAGTTCCCGTCCCAGGTCCCAACCAGAAACACACTGTCTCATCTTCGAGCTTGAACACCCCCCGTGTGATCCTGTCCGCCAAAAGCTCCAGATCCCCGTCGCAATACAATGAACCGACAATATGTAAAACTGCTTTGTGCTTTGAGGGCAGGCGGCATTGGTGGCGCCGTGGCATCTCATCATATGAGAGATTCCTTCTGCATACAGTAGCTGCCTATAACCTGTCTAGTCATGGCGGTTTCTCTTCGTTGAGCCCGAAGTCCCACGTAGACCCAGTCAGGGGGTTCCCAGGCGTCTGGTGTTTCATGTTTTTTCTTCAGGGCGTCCGAGCGGAAGCAGCGCCCCAGGGTACACATGACCATGATAATTCGTTCGCCATCGCAGTCCAACTTAGCAGTCTTGGGGAGCCTTACAGCTTGGGCAGCATGCCAGGCAACAGGAGTGCGCCTCCAGCGCCGACACGTGGCAAGTAACGTCTGATGCATGCCCGGAAAAGCATTATTCTAGAACTCGATCGGTCCTTGGCCGAGTTCGCTCAAGCCCTGGGACGCCTTGAATTAGTCCATTCGGGATGGAAGGGCAGGCGCAGTGGAGGACATGCTATCATAGCCTGTCATTGCCATCCCAAGAGCATCCAGTTCGTCACGTGGGGGTCTCTGGAGGTCATCTATTTCGCGCTTCATGACCTCCAGAGTGGCGGGGCTAGCTGAGCATCCTCTCTGCGCTGCAGGAAGCTGCATTCGACTGCGCCAAGCAACAGCAGTAGCGGGAGATCAGGGTATTGCTCAAACTTATCGTTTGTGTGGCTCTCGACCTTTAGTTGCTAGGAGGCGTTGCAGTTTATGGGCGAGGTCGTAGTTGCGCTGCTCAAGCGATTTGGCTCACTCTGCGACCCGACGCTCCTGGCTGCCCCCACCCCCCCCAGTATTTCCGAGCCGAATTCCAATTGAGATGTTTCATGGCCATTGTCTCATGATATGTTCTGAATGCGTTGCCTGCTCGTCCTAGTTGCTCCCGTCGGTATCTTCGTTGTTCAAGAAGGTTTCCCAACGGTTCAGCTTGGCTTTTCTTCTCGTCGCTTGCAAGGGCTTTCAGTAATCACAGCGAGAGCGGCATCCTTTCTTACTTGCATGAACACGCGATTCATCTCATCCACCTTGCTTGCCCTCCTCCATGCACTTGCCGTAATCCTCCTCCATCTCCTGTGCTCGATGATTTAGTACATGAACAAATTATTGTCGCTTGTGGCCCACCTGCACGCGTTCATAGAGCGCTTCAGCATTGGGACCAGGTCCACGAGCTGGTAACGGCATGGCCGTCGCGTGAAAGGAAGCGCCTAGCACCAGAGGCCTGTGATCTCGCGGGTCTGTTGTCTTCTGGAGATGCAGTCGTCTACCTGATCGAGTATGCACACACCACGATTGAACAGCGGGAAGTCCATCTTTCGGCGCGAATATGTTATTAATGTAGTTGGCTCTCGCTTCCCCTATGAATGTAGGTGGGTTTGGATAGTATGTACTGACTGCCACGAGACCCAAAGCTGCCAAGAAACTCCAGGGCGAAGTAAAAGCTGGAGTAGTTCGTCCTGCCGAGAGTCCGCTCACCGGTAACCTACCGCTGACATCAGCATACGTCAAGGGTGTTGCTCGCACACAACGAAAGAACCCGAGAGTACATTGCAACTAGTCACATAGAGCCGCAACTGATTTCTCATAATGGGCCGTCTGGCCCTTCTTCGAGACACGTGGTGGAAAGTACATCCCAACCACTCCAAAGCAATGCTCCTGTTGCTGTGCAAGTAGGCCTGGAGCTCGCCCCCAAAGATGCTTAGGAACAGGAACGACTCGTTTGATACGATGACGTCGAAATCTGCTACTTCTGAGCATGATCGTGAAAGGGGTTACAGGCGGACATCGACGGTGCCCTGCACGATAACACCTACAGCGATCAACGTACCGTGGGCCTTGTAGAAGTTCACCGCTACTGCGTGGCTGCGTGCCTCCAAGAATGATAGCAGCATATTCCAGAGATTCTCCTGATATGTCCGCAAGCCGAGACAAGCGCGAAGCTGCACATGGGTTGTGCAGCACGAGTCGCAGAAGTCCTGCAGCCGTCCGACGTGCTCCTGCGGGCGCGCGGCCGCCGTGGCCGCCGAGGGCGGAAGAGGCCCTGGAGAGCTTGCAATCCCCTACGTGCAGAGGTTGGACCGGTCTCTCAGTGGCTCGGGCCATCTGGAGGAAAACGAGGAGGAGGAGGAGGAGGAGGAGGAGGGAGGAGGATGGAAGACGAGGAACAACAGCAGCAGGAGGACTGAGGGGCAGGCGGGTCCGCAGAGTTCACCCTCCGCTCCGCCGGCGCTCCCTCCCCGTTGCCGCGCTCCCCGGCGCACGTGAGGCCGTCTCCAGCTACCCGGCCCGCCACGCTCTCTTCGAGACCGTGAAGGCGGCGACCGAGGAGGCCTGCCCGTCGGGGGCAGAGGCCGAGGATCGAAGAGCTGAAAGAGCGTCTCGTGGACGCTTTGGATGGGGAGGCCCCCTCGCCCTCCCCTCCCCCCCCGACTCGCTGGTGGCACACGACCGACAGCAAACGACATTGGTTTCAAGCAGAGGTCCTTGTGGGGTTTGGCGTCTGGCCGACGCCTCTGCTTTTATCTATTTGCTTGCCTGATCACTCCCACTGTCCACGCCAGCAGTCACGAGCGGGGCTGGTACAATCTGGGATCTCGCTCTCCTCCTCTTCCTCCTCCTCCTCCTGCTCCTCCTCCTCCCCACAGAAATTTCTACGTGCTCGATCGGATGCAGGTGCCTGAGTTTTTCCTGCATGCTATTCGGAAGTTGTACGATGCCGTGCGGGTTTACATCAGTTTCAGAGGTTGTGACGAATTCTATTTCGTGCTTGAGCGCGGCCTCAAGCAAGGATGCCCGCTTAGTGGGCTGCTGTACGTGTTGGCCACTGACCCCTTCATCAGATATCTCTTGAGTCGTATTCCTCGGGCTCCATGCACCTCCATATATGCGTTTGCTGATGATCTCGGTCTTACTTCCCAGGACATTTTCATTACTCTTCCTATAGTTTTACCCATTATGAGTTGGTTTAGTACACTCTCGGGGCTGTGTATTCACCCAGGTAAAACTGTCATCTTGCTGCCTTACGGGATGGATCCCGCCAGTGCCCTCAGCCTCTTTGCCGAGCACGGGCTCGACGTCTCGGGCTTCAGGCTTGCGAAGCACGGCAAGTACTTAGGGTTTGTTGTCGGCGAAGGTGGAGAAACATTATCTTGGGGAGACCCTGGGGACAAGGTGCTTTCTCGGGCACGGCAGATCAGGACCATGGGGATGAGTTTCATGATGAATATTCTGGCTTACAACTTGTTCGCCTTCCCGACGTTGAGCTATGTTGCGCAACTGCTGCCTCCCTCGAAAGCTGCTCTGCGTCGTGAGTATGAATCTGTGCAGCTGTTGCACGCGGGCCCGTTCAATGCCATCAGTCACGATATGATGTTGAATCTAAGTAAAGTCGGCTTTAAACGTGAGGTGCGTGATCTTCGTCTATTTGCTAAAGCTAGTGCCTATCGTGTTGCTTTACGTAGTATTGCTTACTGTAGGTGGGAGTATCGTTATGAGGAAATCATTGACGGCGACGATTGGCTTCTCACTCACAAGTGGAACCCTTATGTGACGAGCTCGATCCTGTGGCACCTGATGGCTGTCAAGGCCGAGTTGCAGGTCATGCCGCGTGTCCCTCGTGAGCCTGCTTCCCCTCGCCTCCAAGCAAAAGTGCATGGTGTCCTTAGATGTGATCGGGACACGGTCACGATCACCAACATGCTCGCTTCCAGGCTCCGTAAGTTTCGGCCATGTACTACCCCGCAAGAGGCCTTCCTGACAGGTATACGTATGCACCTTCTTGCTCGATATGTCCCACAATGTGTTCTATCTGCCGTCTTAAAAACGATATCGAATCACTGGAATTGTTCGGCCCGTTATTCTACCCCGACCCAGGCGTGCAGGTGCTGTGGTCTTGAAAAAGGTGATAGGCTGCTACACTATTTACAATGTCCTCGAATTCTTCCAGAAGTGAGATCCACCCTCCCTCTTCTGCCTAGGTCTTGGGGCCCAGGAGACCCGTCTAGGATGTTTGTTTTTGGGGCTTGGAAGGATTTAGAATTGTCTGCTCTTGTAAGCATGGCCCTAGGATTAGACATGATACATAGCCTGTATAACACACTCCGTCATAAGCATGCGAATATCCCTGGTCTCGTGCGAGCGCGGGCGCGGGCAATGGCTCGGCGCAGCCGCCATGCTCGCGATGCGCTACAAGGACGGTGGGACCTCCCTCCTCCTCCTCCTGGCTGAGTGTGTCTCCCCACAGAAAAAAACAAAACCAAGCAACCTCCAGATGCCGAGGATCGAAGATCGGTACGGTCGACCTGGGTACGAAAATAATGGGTCCGAAGATTGACAGCGTTTCTTGCTCATGTTGAACCAGAATCGCTGTCGGCGTCGCCGCAGACTTTGTGCAGTTGAGAGTGAAGGCTGCTTGGTTGGAAAACGTTTGATGTCGGACATCGTGCCCATTATTTCGGTACCAATTTCGGGAGTGGGAGCAGGATAATTTCACATTCGAGAGCTCCTGGGTATTTTCACGGCTGGACCGGGTGTATTCCGACATCCACCCGAGCAACCTCCTCTTCGCTGATTCGTTTTGTTGCACTCTGGACCTGCCCCGCGGTTTATCAGACCACTGGCCTACAGCTTTTGGTATCCAGCCTAGTTTGAAAAGGCATCGGAGGTTGTTTCCCTCTCGAGTTATCGGCAACCCTGCGTTTCGAGACAAGTTGATTTCTCGGGCCACGCCATGCTTGGAGAATACGAGCACGTCGTCGATCGTCAAACTTGCAGAGATTAAGATAATTATCCATCACACTTTTCGGGGCGTAGTGAAAACCCATCGCGAGAGGATCGCTGACACCAACGAGGAGAAGCTATATGCCACCATTGTTTTTTTTGCGTGCTGCTTTCACTGGGAATTTGGTTGCTGTGGAGCGGCTGGACGCTGTGTACCTCCGGCTTCGTTCGGTACCTGCGGCTTCACGTGCGCCTGCGCATCGTGAGTTTCGATTTCTTCAGGACCATGCCCTCGAGCTGCCACAGGCAGTTGCAAGCGACTGGATCGATGATTTTCAACGGCCCAACGGCAGCGCGGTAATCTTCCTGAGGGCGTTGACGAGCAACGCAAATCGAATATGGCTTCCTCGCTCTCCAAGCTGGTGCCGGGATCTCTGGGTCGGTTCAGGCAGTGAGGAATCCGTCCCCAGGCTTGGTTGCCACGGAGCCCCAGGATGCAGCTCGAATTCTGACGGGGCATTTGCAAAGTGTTTTCGATGAGCAGCATACTGACGGGATATTGAGGCGGCGCTGGATTGACCGAGTGGGAGGCAGGTTGCACGTAACCCTCGAAGATTTGACTCCCACGATCGAGGATGTAGACTGTGTGCTGGCAAGCCTTCCGAGTTCTTCTCCGGGCCCAGACGGCATTCCTTTCGCCGTGTTCTCGGTGTTTCCCGTTATTTTGGCGCCGCTGTTCTTGGACCTTGCGTTGATCATGCTGCGAGAGGAAGCTGCGCCGCCGGATGATTTCAATTTGGCCTATTTGATTTGTTTACCGAAGTGTTCGGGGACGTTGACGTCGACAGGCGAGGATTTCTACGACCCGTGCAACACCCGCCCACTTTCCATCGTCGACGCCAGTAACCGTATCCTTGCGTCCATCTTCAGAGTGGCGTTGGAGAGATCGGCGGCGCCATGGGTCTCCGCGCCTCAGAAAGGATTTCTACAAGGACGGCACATGATACGCAATGTATTGGACGTGGATTTTGTGGCGCATAACATCTCCGTGACATCACCCCTGGGGGCAATATCATTATTAGATATTCGCGTTGATTGCCCCAGCATGGATCACCAGTTAATGTGGGAAGTCCTAAAGGGTATTGTGTTTACCGTTTCAGTACGTCCGAGTGTTGCAATTGTTTACAACAGTAACGTGCGTAAGATCCAAGGTGGGGACGAATTTATCGAGAGCGTCACCGTCAGCAGTGGGGTGAGACAGGGGTACCCGCTTTCACCAGCGTTGCTTGCTATATGCGCAGACATTCTGCTTTGTCGCATCGCTGACAATCTACATGGCCATGAAGTCGTTCGCGTTTTTGCTGATGACGCGGCGGCGGTTGTGAATGATTCTGTCCAGGTAGTCCCAGTGCTCGCCAAGTTGTTTGCCAAGTTCGAATCGATTTCTTGTTTGGCCCTGAGCGTCACGAAAGCGGTAGTGATCCTCTTCTGGAGGCACAGCTCCGATAGAGGCTTGCGGAAATTGATCGCAGAGCTGGCCCCCCTCCTGGCGTGACATCATCATTGCGACGCAGGGGATGTATCTGGGATTCTGGATCGGCCCAAGAGCGTGCTTTCAGTCGTGGGGTAAACTGTTGAAGAAATCCGACAAGCGTGCGCAATTGTGGCCTGGCCACAACTTGGGTTTAACTTTATCGGCAATCGCTGTCAACACGTTTATTTGTTTTGTCTTTTTGTTCGTGATGCAATTGCAGGAGTTGCCGGGTGATTTTGCGTGTGTTTTCGCTTGGGCTCTGAGGCGCCTCGTGTCAGGCCCTGGCAGTTGGGCTACGCCTGCTGACTTGTGTTCTTTGAAAGAGGAATTTGGGTTTCCGCGTTCATTTGCGAGCCCTGCAGGTCTCGCCCAAGCCGCCCAATTCTGGGTGGTGGAGACCATTGCCTTCGATTGTAAAGATCGTTGCGCGGAGCTCGCTGCCTTGGACGATGCCGTGTTGCAGTGGCCTTTCGGGAGATGGTATCAGGGCTCTTCCCGGGCGGAGGTCAAGCTTGGGAGCATGGGCATCGCCCGCTTTGCCGCCCGACAAGTCATTGCTGCTGCTCCTGGCCAGCAGAGGAGTTTGAAGTTTCAAGCGGTCGCCGCTTCTCTGATCAGGCCAAGAGCGGCGACCAGGATCAGCGGGTCATCACAAGATCTCAAGGTTGAGTTTCGCAGGCAATGCAGCTGACAATCTGGCGCGGATCCGCGCAAATTTCGGGCTCGTGCACACGTGGTGCCCGCATCGCGTGGCCGCAGCATATCTCCGTACTGTCTGCAATGGGTGGGCCACTCGCCGCAGCATGCGCCATGCAGATACTGATCTCCGTCGCCACGGCCCGATCAGTCGGGCGGGCCCCCTTCAGAGGCCAACCCGGCCGACGGCCGCAGCCGCGGGCTGGCAGGGCGGTTCTCTGGCCCCCGCCCAGCGCCGGTGCCGTTCGGCGATGCGCTGCTCAATCATGCAGCGGCTCTGGCTCCCGGGGCTCCTCTTCCAGACCGCCTCGGCGGGGCGCCCGCCGCTGCGAGAGCTCGCCGTGCCCAGGAGCTCGCAGCTGCGGTGCCACCGGCCCCGTGGCTCACTGTGCTGGAGCGGCTCGCGGCGCGGCCATCGACCGAGAAGCTCTACCATGGGGCGCTGCTGGCCTTCGTGAGATTCTGCGCGCGTCACCACTTGGACGGACTATGCCAGCCTCGCCTCGACTCTCGCACAGTGCATGGACGGCGAGTTCTTCGGCGGCGGCGGCGGAGACTTCGGGAACGCGCCCCTGGCGGCGGTCGCCCACTTCCTCGGCCCTCTGCGCGAGCGGGCTGCGACGATGCTGCCGCGGGCCCATCGCGCGGCGGCGGCCTGGGCCCGGAGGGCTCCGAGCCGCGCGCGCCCCCCGTTACCGAGGCGGGTCGCGTTCGCCATCGCGGGCGCCCTGCTCCGCGACGGGCACCGCCAGCTCGCCATCTGCATCCTCGCCATGCCCGCCTGCTACCCCAGGCCGGGCGAGGCAGCGAAGCGCCCCCCACCGCCGCCGCGGGTGCGCCGCACCAGTTCCACGGCCTGACCCTGCACGAGGGCGGCCAGGAGCTTGGGGAGACCGGGGTGAACGAAGAGAGCACCCTCTTCGATCGGGGGCCTCTTTCCCTTGCTGGCGGCCCCCAAGTCCGCCATGCTTCCCGGCCGGCCGCTGCGGGGGGACTCGATCTCGTTGCTGCCGCAGCTCTTTCTCCGGGCCTGCCGCGAGCTGTCTCTGGAGCGCCTTCGCCCGCATCTTTACTGCCTGCGGCGCTGCGGAGCCTCGGGCGACATGCTGTCGCAGAGGGGAGCGCTCCCAGAGATCCAGCGTCGCGGTCGCTGGCGGTCGGCCAAGAGTCTCAATCGGCACACCGAGGAGACAAAGCTGGGCGAGATTGACTGGGCCTCACCAGCCGCCATGGAGCCCGGGGCGTTCGTCGAGGCCCACCTGGTCGAGCTCATCGAGGGCCCCCCCCCCCCCCCGCGCTGCTGACCACTGGCCGCGCGCCGGCCGCGGTCTCGCCCTGCTCAGGGCGCCAGCCGACGCCCCCAGGCGGGTGCGCGAGCGCCCCGCGGCGGCGACGTGACGGCCTCAAGCAGCCCTGATGCCATCCGACAGCACTTGCGGGGACAGCGCCAGCGGGCGGCTGCTCCTGGGCGTCGACTTCGCCGACGCCCCGTGCTCGAGCTGTTCTGCGGCGCTGTCGCGATCGCCCGCGCGATGTACGCAATGGGCATCGCTGGTTTCGGGCCCGACTGGAGCCGCAGCCCGCTGGAGGACCACGCCTCGGCGGCATTCCAGTCCGTCGTCCTCGGCTGGGTCGCCTCTCGGGAGGCGGGCGCTATCTGGCTCGGCGCGCCGCGCAGTAGCTGGGCGCGTGCGCTCAGACGACCGCTTCGCTCCGCACTCCACCCCATGGGCCATCCAGGCGTGAGCTCCCGTGAACGAGCCAGAATTGATGCCGGCAGCGCCGCCTACATATTCATTGCCAGATTGATCCGTGCGTGCGTGGCGGCCAGTATTTTTGCATGTCTCGAGAATTCTCGGACCTCGCCGCTGTGGCCTGGCCCCGCGCTAGCCCGTCTCTGCAAGTCGCCCTTCTGCCGCAAGTCCGTGCTGCACCAGTGCCAGTACGGCGCGCCCAGAAAGGCCACCGCTGCCTGCTCCCGGGGCGCTGCCGCTACGCTGCCGCTTGAGAGAACTTGTTCAGGGCGCCGAGGTTGTTGTCGCAAGTCCGGCAAACGGCATCTCATTCTTGAAGGGAATGACGAGAGAGGTCAGAAGCGGACTGCCGTCGCCGCTCAGTACCCCCCTCGCCTCGCCGCCGCCGCCGCCGCTGCGCGCATTGCCCAATCTATGTCCCTCCAGCCCGCTCGGGCCCTCCAGTCTTTCGCTCTGAGGATATTATAATGCGGCCTTCGGCCAAAAGGGACCCTCGGGGTCGGGCGGGGGGCGCCTCAGGACCGCCCCTGCTGCCGCAGTGGCCCGCGTCCGCCCTCTCATCCGCCTGGCCCTTCTTGTCTCAGAACAATTGGCCAAGACGACGTCGCCAGCTGTTTTTTATATAAAACCTTGATGAGAAGCACAGTCGGATATGCGGACGCACTCGGATGTCAGCACATCTGTCTCAGAGCATATGCCATCCGACGCTTTTGTGCTCAAGCTTTCCCGCTGCCAACCCAAAGTTTATTCTTCGCTAATGGTCCGAGGACAGGGGGCGTCTCAGGACCGCCCCTGCCGCCGCAGTGGCCCGCATCCGTTATATCATCCGCCTTGCCCTTCTTGTCCCGAAACAATTGGCCAGGACGACGTCGCGAGCTATATATATATGTATATACACACAGCTTTATATATACAGATATGGTATCGAACCAGTGCCATAGCCGCTGCCAGACCGGCCTCATTTTATTGCCTCTCTGCAGTAATCCGCTGTGCTCGGTCTCGCTCAGGCAACAGATGCTAGATTATTGGTTGCGGGCCCAGGATCCCAACCACTTTGTTCTGGTCTCCTGGTGCACAGTGTTGTTGCCATGCATCCTCAGTATCATCCCGCTGCTGCCGCCCAGATTTTGCCGAATGGACCGTCATTGATCGCAGTCGGTTGAGACTCCGCATGCCTGATGCGAGGGCCTTGCGCGGTGCCATCATTGCGCATGGTATCCTGATTTTTCCTGCAACACTATGAAGGCGAATGCGTTCGCGGCGGATTTCCGCGCGAGGGCGGAGACCATGATGAGAGCTCTGGCGCGTGCCATTGCCAAGCGCGAGCGTGCCATCCGTGAGCTGCTCCCCCAACGAAGTTGAGCCCCCTTTTCTAGGGCCTCGCATCACCACCGCCACCATCATTACCAGCATCATCATCGTCATCATCATCATCAACATGATCATCATCACCACCATCACCATCACCTTCATAATCGTCATTAGCGTTATCGTCGCCAGCGTCGTCACCACCAGTATCATCATCATCACCAGCACCATGACCACTATCACCATCATCACCATCATCCGTTGCATCATCATCGCCATCATCACCAGGACCATCACTATCCCCATCGAATCTTCGAATCTTCGAATGTTAAAATTTGCACAGCAATATTTTAGATAACCCTCCAGGAATTTGAAATTCCCAGAGGCCGTGGAGTCCAAAGTCGAGGCGAACAGCAATCCCGAAAACCCATGACATTTTCAGAATTCAAATCAATCATGAAGTTCTTGAACGCGTCAAACATGCTGGAAATCAAAAGGTTAACATATATTTTTGTTTTGAAGTTCCCACGGGCCCTGGAGTCCGTAGCCCAGGCGACCATGAATCCCGACAATCGCAGAGGGGATGACGATGATGAGGAGGGTGGTGGATGAGGAATAAGGGGGAGGAGGAGATCGAAGAGGATGAAGAGGCAAATGGGGGAACAAGGGAGGATGGATACGAGGTTGGACACTAGTACGCCCCCCTGTTGAGCGTTTCCGTCCCCATGATCGTCCGTGCCCCCACCCTCTGTTTGGTATGTATATGTTGTCGTCCGTACTCTCCCCGCCCTCCCCCCTCTCCCTCCCCGCCCCTCTCCTCCCTTTTCTCCCTCTCGATCGCTCCCTCCGCCCATCCTTCCCTCCTGTCATCCCCTCCCTCCGTCCCCCACTCTTTCCCAGCCGGCGCTTGCAGCCGGGCGGAATTTCGAGTTCACGGTTCCAAAGTTTCAGCTCAGTTCGTCTTCCCGCATCTTTGCCTCATCGTTCCCTCTTCATCTTGCGGCACCAGTGCGTTGTGACAGCGCATGCTGTCAAAGTGGTAGTGGTTTTCGTCTTGTTTGCCCGTTAACGGGGCATTGCGAATTCATGTTCATGTTTTCTGCGCGCGGCAGCCGCCACAAAGTAGGCATAACACGGCGTCTCATCATCGTGTTTGTTTGGTGCCGCACGTATTTATGCGGTCGTCAGCAGTCCAGCTCGGCCATCGATGCACGTTCTCTCCCGCAGGCTCTGGGGGATCATTTTGACAGCTTTGCGCTGGTTGGCAGCACGGCCATGAGGATCGACACGCCTGACTCTGACTTAGACGCCGTGGCGTTCACAAAGGACTGCATGACTTCATTTCTGGTGGATCATTTTGCTGCTGCTGCTGCTGCCCTCGATCAGATCTCTTCTCTCCCGACGAAGCCCGCCGGGGTTGCTGTGATGTGCAGTCGAGGGGAGGACGAACACAGGACGATAGCAGAAACTGGCAGGCAACGTAGGGTGCACCTTTGGCAGGAAGGGCCAGGTAAGATGGGCTGTCCTGAGAATGCCGACGGGCTCACAGAGGGGAAAGCGTTTGAGGAGCGGTCGCCCAGAGTGTCGCGCCATCAGGTTTGGCCCGCCACGCTCCGGCGCGACACGCCAACCTCTTCCCAATTCTCAAGCGCCGGCGTCCTGAGCCTTTCCGAGGCTCCTGCCCTGTAAAGCGGAGCGGCACGCCATCCGCTTGCAGGGCACCTCGTGCCGCCAGGGCCGCCGCCGCGACGCGCGAAGCGAAAGCTCCTCACCGCACCCCTTCTCCCAGAGCGTCGACGGCCCTCCTCCTCCCTCTCCTCCTCGGCCCTCCTCTGCGTAAACGGGGGGTAAGACGGCTGGGAGGGTCGCACAGGCCACGGGTAAGAAGCGCCTGCTCGCTCTCCAGGGCCCCTCCCCCCTCCCTCTCTTTTTTTTTGGGGGGGGGGGCCAGGCCGCGTGAGCTAGAGCTCGAGGCGTTCGCCCTTCCCTCTCCTCCTCCACATCGCGGCCCGCTCGGCCTCTGCTCGTGATGGAGGCTGGGGGGCTCGCAGGGGCGGTTGTTTTCCCAATTACGTGGGGGGGAGTCGGAGGAGGGCTAGTCGAGGCAAACGGCGGCCCTCTCTCGCGTTTTTCCTCCTTTGGGCCTCCTGGAGGCTTCTCATCTCCACGGTTGGATCCGCTTCAAAAACTTGGTCAGGACGGGCCACGGCATGGTCCGGGGACCGGTTTTGAACGGAGTTGGGCTCGGCGGGGAGGCCGCTGTTGTCTGAATTAGTCTTCTTCCGAGGGAAGTGGAGGAAGGAGCTGGATGATTTGTCGAAGTTGATTTTAGCAGTTGCTTTCTTCGCTGGTGAGCATAATCAGTGAGCCAAACATCCCATGCCTTGAGAGCACTACTTAGACTGGGTTCCCGTGTCGTCTTTCAGATCTGTGTGTGTCCGTTTATGAATTGGCAGTTGATTTGTATCAGGGGTTGTCGTTGCAATACTTCAGCCAGCTCCCTTTTGCTGATTACACTCGTCGATTGCCTTTTCCGTAAGCGTCATGCCGATCCTCCTCCTCATTTGTTGGTTGTGTGCGTAGTCTGTTGTCTGGTCTGCTTCAGAGAAGGAAAGATGCAGAGATCACGCTCAAAAACCCTTGCCCACATACACTTGCGAAAGGGGTGCATGCGTTACCACACTCCCTTTCGGTTCGCAGAAAACTCACACGAGGGTGTGCCCTGCCCAGGCCTCAAGAACCTCGTATGACACAATATATAGTGTAACTTGTGTGTGTCTTGTGTCATGCCGCGGCTTTGTCGAGCGGGGGACTCAATAATAGATGTGTAAAGTAATTATTGATTGATCGTGACAATGAAATCTTCGATGGGTACATATTCATTCGCATCCCCACCTGGATCTCGGACTTCGCGTCCCCATCTGGATCTTCACGCGCTGTTCTGCTGTGTAATTATGCATCGAAATCTTCATCTAAATCCCCAGTCGCGCTCTCTCTCTCTCTCTCTCTCGGTTTATATCTCAGCCTAAATCCTAAATCGCGCTCTCACGGCTTAAACCTTCACATGCGTTTTCACCTAAATGTTTACCCAAAGTTTGACTCGCGCTCTTATTGTCTACTTTTTATCCGAACTCTCCACCGAAATCTTCATCTGAATCTTCACTCGCGCTTTCACTGTTTAAATCTTGACTTACATCTTCCAAAATGGAATGGCGACTGCAAGTGGGTGCCCTCGCGATTGAAAAAGGAGGGGGGGCTCGCAGAACCCCTCCCCCCCCTCTCCCCTCCTTTCAGGGGGGGGGGGAGATTTGGGACCCCCCCCCTCGGTTTCAAAGGAAAGTGTGGGGGTCTGGGGACCGCGCTGGGGCGTTCCGTCTTTCCCTCCTCCCCTTCGACCCGGGCGCCTGCGGCCGAAGGGGGCGGGGGGGCCTTGCATTGCGCCCTTGCCTCGCGGGGGGATCTTTCCAGTTGTTCCTCATTTTTTGCGGATTCTTCTCGCCCCCGCCCTCCCCTCATCGGCCCCGCCACTATGCGCGCCCTCCTGTCATGGCGCCCGCGATGCGAAGGAGTCTCATGGTGCATTGCCGTGAAGTTTGGCTGTTTGGTTGGATTTGTTGTTTGCGTGTTGGGCTGCGTGGCGGATTTGTTGGTTGATCGGGTTTCGCTCGTCCTCTCAGTTCGTTCCCCGCGCGGCCCTGTTCAGCCCCAGCCGCTGCCGTCGCAATTGCGCCCCCCCCGCTCAGCGTTGCTTTTTTCAGCGTTGCAGGATGCGCGCCCTTTTCCCTGCAGCGTGATTCGTGTGGTCAATTTGTTGTTTAACACATCCGCAGATCGCCCTCCTGCCCCCTCGCCCCTCTACGTCCTCGCGCGCGTGTCACGCGCGCGGCAGGTCCACTGGCGCCCTGACGCATTCGCAGGCAAACCCGTTGACACTCAGACCCATTCACACCCGACGTAGGCTCACTCACATGATCCTCGCGCGTAGTCCTTCACGTTCACTCGCCCCCACAGTAAGCCATATTTAGACAAATCGTACCTCGATGCGCTCATGCGCCGCAGTAGGCTCACCGAGATGTAGCAGACGTAGCAGCACGGTGCCCAAAGGAGGTGCCGGCTGGGAGCAGTCGTCTGGTGGAACACACCCCCATGTCTTGACAGACGCGCGAATGCGCGGCACTTGGGCGCCCCGGCGCGCAACCGCCAGGGGGTCGGACACGCGTCCGTCGGGGGCGGCAAAGAGGGGGGTGATGACTAGGGGGGGGGGATGGATATCATGGCGGGGGCCTCGATATTTCCTCAGATTTCATGGCGCCTCGTTTTATTCCATTACGTCCCTGGCCCCCCCGCAGGGCCGCGCACATGCCGCCGGTCATGATTTGCACCCCCCCCCTCTTGGACACCCCCCTCTTGGCCGCTCCCGAGTCCGTTCGCGATCTCATTGCATGGATGTTCCGGGCTGTTTCTTTGTTTAGCAAGACGAATAGTTTAAACGACGCATGGCCAGCGAGTGACGCCCAGGGTCACATTCGGGCACCCTGAGAAGGAGCCGCCAGGGAGCAGCGCGCCTGCCCGTTCGCGCCCAGATTGTGGCGGTCAGCCCGTTGTGCGGCACAGACGCTTCTCTCCTGAGAGCCACATGGTCGCCGCGACAAGGCTGGCGTGGCATTTAGTCCTCCCAAAAAGGGCCGTGCCCGTTCGCGACCGCATTGTGGTGGATGTCTCAATCGGTTTGCATATTTCTTGGGTCGGATCCTTTGTAGCGGAACAATCTCATGACAGCCGCGATGTAGCAGGCGTGGTACCAGATCGCCCCAAGGACAAACCAGTAGAATGTATGATGTTTGCCCCCCTTCGCGCGAATGTCGTGGAGATGTGTTGGGCTGTTTGCTCGTTTTGCGGACGGGGGCCGCTTCTTGCGGGGGGCGCATGACCACCGCGATATAGTAGGTGTTGCAGTCAGACGCCTCGGCGACGGCCAATGAAGGGGGCACTGGCCCGCTCGCGCCCAGAAACAGTTGGCTTCCCCTTGCCCCCGGTCAGTTCGACGCGGACTGAGCTTAGGCGTGCTTAGGCTCATGCGCAAAAGACGTTCACACACTTTTCATGCATGTGCAGATTCGTTCATGCTCATACTTCCCGCGTTCAGATCACGTTCGTTCAGACCCATGGATACCCAAATTCATGCATACTCCGATTTACGATCCACGCTCGGACACAACCGCGCTCAAATCTCTTCGCACTCAGACCCACCCACATTCAGAATCACTGGCACTGAGGCTGGTCTTTTTTTCCGTCGGCGGCGAGGCAGAACTGCTGGACCAGCGTTCGGGCTAAACGGGGCCGCTGAAGAGCGAATTGCCCATCGTTCGAGCCACGCGGGGCCGCCGCGGAGAAGGAGGAAGGAGGGGACATTCAATGGCGGACGAATTCCATCGTGCTGGAGCGGCTGGTCTCGGCAGCGGGGACCGCGGCAGCGGCCAGGCGGCGGAGCGCGTGCATCTTTGGGCGATGACGAGGCCCAGTACGCGGAATGCAAGGGTGTCAGCAGTGCAGCCGTCAGTGAGGGACGACTTGTTTTTTTTTTTTCAAGTAGGGGAAAACACAGCGAGGCCGCCCAGGTGGGCCGACGAGGCTCGACACGTAAAAGAGCGATCCAGGCTAGACCGCCACCGGCAAAATGCTGAGCCCGTAGGGCGAGGTGCAGGGCGAACGAGGCTGAGCACGGTCATTGCACAAAGTAAATATGCATGTATGTTTGGATGTATGCATACATGTATGCATGTTTGTATATATTTTATATATATTTATGTACATCTGTGTATAAATATATAACACAGCAATGGAGCACGCTAGTGAAGGAGCCGCCATGGTGTGTTACATCTGCCCGTTCCCAGCTTGATTGTGGAGGCGCATTAAGAGAAACGCTCGGCTCTAGCACCCATGGACCCTTTTATTTTGGAATCCTGCGATCATCGCGGTGTAGCAGACGCTCCACCTGGGCACCCCAAGGGGTAACCGCTAGAGAACGCTCAGTCACCACAGGCTAATACGCTCCCGCTCAAACACTCACAGCGGGACGTGCCCAGAAAACATTGGCGCACATGGGGATCCAGTTAGTTGGTTGGTTGGATGGTTGGTTGGTTGGTTGGGTGGTTTGTCTGTTCGGCTGTGCACTCCCCAGGCTGCTCGGCTAGTCGGCGCGGGGCCGAGTTGCAACGGGGGTTGGTTTCCAGCAGGACCTTGCGGCCCCCGCATCTCATGCGGCCCATGCCGTTGATATGGGCCATCAGGATCATGCAGCCCCTGCAGTTTTCGCGCTTCATCGGGCCCATGTGGAATAATCCGATTCCGCGCGCCGAACAAATCGCCGTCCGCGCGCAGGTGTCGCCCGTGTCGTTGCACTCCGTACGCTCCGCAGGAGCAACAGCGGCAAGGGCTTCACCAGTTCGCGAGCACCGATTTCATGTTCTTGTGTGGGGATTGCTTCGATTTCCAGCTAGGCGGCGCCATGCGACACATTCGTACAAAACGATGGTTTTGCGTATGTTTCTGGAAAATTGTACGGAAGTCCGGCTGGAATAGCAGCCACGCGCTATCCGGAACAAGACATTCTCGCTCGATCGCACCGGGGTCGATCTGGGTCCTCCCAGGAGCCCCGCGGGCAGCGAGAGAGGTCCGAGATTGACGCCAGGCCGGGCGGACGATCTTAATTCCAGTATTTGTCCATAGCCACCGCTTGGGGGATCGATCTTCGGGGGCCTCGGCAGGCGGTTTATATGCTGGTCCGGGCGGGGGGTGGCATATACAATATACGGAGGGGGCGTTCATTGCGGCATGTGCCCAGAAAGCTTGGGACCTTGGATGATCCTTTAGCCAATGAGGGCAGCGGTGATGTGTGATATCCATGCCAAGCCTCACTTGGCGTTCCACCCGCTTTCAGACCCAGGGTTCTTTATCCGATGTTTCTTTGTCCGATGCCTTCACCGTTCATACATATCCACCGCGTGCCGAGGACCTTGGAAATCGATCCCCCAGGCGTTGGTTATGGATGAATCCCCGTTTCGCACGAAAAGGGGGGGATCGGGAAGACGGGAGGTACGAAAAATGCCCCTGCCGCCCTGCGCATACTTTGGTACGAGGTCGGGTCCAGCGTTGGGGGAGGCGCCAAGAGAATTAGCCGCATGCGGCCGACTCTTCAGACCCCTTGTGCTATCCCCTTCCTTGCAGCCCACCCCGGCCCGTTGCGACTGCTCGCCAGACCATTGCGGGCGGAGGACGACGACGACGAGGAGGACGACTCCAACCACGACGACGACGTCGTCGTCCTCGTCCTTGTCGCCCTGCGGTGTGGGGGACCACGACTCCAGCGACGACGACGACGTCGTCGTCCTCGTCGTCGTCCTCGTCCTCGTCGCCCTGCCGTGTCGAGGACGCCGCAGGGTCGCCTGAGCCCAGGGACGCTCTGAGGCTCGTCGCGGAGAGGCTGGAGGAGCGTGAGGAGCCGATCGCCCTGCCCGCCCACCATCCGTTCTCCCTCTCCATCGTCGCCCAGTCGCTCTCTGTGTCCCTCTCTGTCCTGGTCTCTCTCTCTCTCTCTGTCTCTCTCTCTCTCTCTCTCCCTTTCTTTTTCTGCCTCTCGCTCACTCTATCGACCCATTCCTCTCCCTGGTCACTCTCCGCCCGACTTTCTCTTGTCCGGGGAAGCCAGGGCCGAGACACCCCCCCCACCCCTTTTCCGCATCCCGTCCCCTATCCCTGGAGGCTGCCTTGCCGCCCTCCCCCACTCGCCAGATGAGCGACGCAGACAAACAACATGTCGTCTTCACCAACATTGACGCGCAGCGGTCCCGCGCAAGGTTGCGCGTAAGCGCCTTCGTTTCCGAACTAACGTGCCGCGCTGGCGGCCCGCGTAAGCCACTGCGCAGGGCCGCCACGTCAACGTTCGTAAGGCCTGTTTGTGTTCGTCGCTCATATGAGTGTTTCGTGTGTAATATCTATTTATGCACACACACGTAGTACTCGATTCCGCCTGCGTCGACCGCAAACTCCCGCCAGTTCGCTTCCCCGCTCCCTCAGATCCAGCCCCGTCCCCCGTCTCTCCCAGCTGATGCCAGTTCCCCTTCCCTGCTTTCTCATCTCCCTGCACCCCTCCCTCGTCCCCCGTCCCTCAGCAACCCGTCCCCCTCTCCTTCTCCCCTTCGGGCCCCCTGCTCGCGAACTTCCATGTGAGCCTTCTGTTGCACCTTCCTCGCCCCACTCTTCCGTTCTCCCCCCGTCCCTCCTTCCTCCCACGCTTCCTGCCTTACAGCATCCTTTCATTTCCTCTCCTCCCCCTTCCCTTCCCACCCTTCCCTTCCCCCCTTGCTGCTCCAAGCCGTGCTTCCACACCTACACAACATGAATGCTACTCTCTTCGTTCCCGTGATGCCGTGCTGGTTTCACAAAGCAAAGCGTTCAGTGCGTGCATGTACAATGGGTGATTTCGAAGTGCCTTTCCAGATCGATTGTCCAAGCAGGCGTTGTTCTGCCTTCGAAGCGTAGTGCTCCCACTGGTGCGTTCGCCATAGTTGACGATCACCCGAGAGCCTCTATCCAACGTAACGTCGCTGTCGACACAGCGGTGGCAGTGGTGGTTGTACTATTGCGTGCAATCAGAACGTCTGCTGCGGTTCAAACGATTTGCTTGCCCTTTCGGGATTCGAATCTGTACCGACACGCGACTCCGCGAACAGAGGGGGGGGCAAACGCAATAGGACGTGATGGGAGTGAGGAGTTGTCTAGGCCTCTCAAGTGATTCTAGTTGGGTCCGAGTAGATGGGGTCGGAGGATCACGCCGTCGATGTATCGGCGATGCGGCTCGATGTGTAGCCCGAGCCGCTGCTACCCCGACAATATTCGCCAGCGTAGCAGTGCGAAGAGAAAGCGACCCATGCAAGGAACATAGTCGGGCCTGAGAGCGAGCAGCCGAGGAGCGAGATAGGGAGGGGGAGATGGAGGGGGGACGAGAGAAAGAGACAGACCAGGCCCACAGACGGAGGGACAGGGAGACGGGGAGGGGAAGCCAAACAGGGAGAGAGAGGGGGAGCACGCCGCGCACAAGGGCAAGGAAACATAAGGGCAGGGGAAGGAACACGAGGGAGAGGGAACACAAGGGCGAAGAGGAGGGAAGAGGAGGAGGGGAGGGGAGGAGGAGCCGAGAGCCGAAGACAAGGAAAAAAGGAAGCGGGCCAAGAGGAGCAACTGTGCGCCAGCGCAACTGGAAAACCGCTGGCCTCCTCTCCTCTGGCGGGATTAAGAATATTCAGAGCAAATGCCGGGCCAGGAGAGAGAGGGGAGGGGGAGGACAAGGAAAACATAATCAAAACTGGATTGTAGCCCGGGACGCCTCGCCGACACCAGGAGCGGCTGCTGCGGCGCCTGGGGCTCGCTTCAACACCGCCCAGGCTTTGGCCCGCTGGATGGTGACGCAGAGGCCTTCCAAGTAGTTACCCCCGCGCGTGCAGACTCGCCGCATTGCCATCTCTGGCCTCAGCTTTGCGCGCGAGCTGCATAAAGCACCTGTGATCTGGAAGCGCCCCAGCCGCCATAGCGTTCGGCGACCATCGGCACGAAGGCGATCTCTTGCTGGGTTCAGATGTCCTCCGTGTTTAGGAAGGACCGCTTGTGGTCCTCGTAATACCGTGGAACCGCGCGGCCGACCCGGCGACCTCGCCCGCCAGCTAGGGAGCGGCCTGCCGCTGCGGCGACGTGGTCGCCAGGTTCACTGCTGCCGGGAACCCGCCGAGTCAAGAAGGCCAGAACACATCTGCGTCGTCACTTGGGCGTGGCGGGAGGAGGCTGTCGCGCTCCAGGTCTGGCCGGTGACCCGCGGCTGCATCGGAAGAGTAGGTCAGGTTTTGGGTTGGGTGGTGCGCTGCACTCTTGTCCCCGCCGCAGGTGCGCACCGAAGCGTGGATGTGGTGCACGTCAATCGCGTTCCTCCTGGTAGATCTCAGCAGGGTCCATGTTGAGCTTCATGACCTTGTTGGGCATGGTTGCCAAGAGGCTGGAGGAGCCGGGGAGGGTCTCTGAGACCACCGCGGCCGTGGGCAGCGCGCCCTCGAGCGAAGCGGCCGCACGTTGGAGACCTGAGCCGGCGTCTTCGGCGTCCCAACGATAGCCGCTGTCGACCTGGGCACAGAAGTCCGTCGTGGCAGCACGAGAGGCGAAGTAATTGCGCGGCTGCCGAATGCTGCTGCGTGCTCCGCACACCCAGCCTTGCGTGCCGAAGGCTCAGCGCGGCCTGCCGCCACTCGTCCGCGGTCGGCCGGAACCCAGCGAGGTCCGCAAACGCGTTGCGTACCGAAGTGTCGAAGGCGGCCAGGGGCATTTTCGCCGCCGCGGGAACCACAGCACGCGCTGCGTGCAGAACCCAGCGCACTGACGGAGGAGGCGATAACTCACCTGTAGGTCTTCCATCTCGGACATTGCCTTCGTTGTCTCGCCTGCCGAAGCAGCCCACTCGGCGAGTCTGGCGCCGCAGTGACCTGCCGAACCGATCGGGATTCCGAGGTGCTTGAAGTCGCCGTTCAGCTAACCCTGCTCTCGCCCGTCTACATATCCTTCAGGAGGGCTGGCGAGAAGTGTGCCGCCGAGCCAGCAGCAAGCACTCCCGAGGGTACGATCAGCTCGCTCTTGGCGAGATTGAGGCGGAGACCGATTCGAGGCGCATGAACCAGCAGGATCCTGAGGGCCCCTGCAACGGCAGCAGCGCTGGCCCCGATGTTGCCGTCGTCAAAGTAGAAGAGCGCCAGGTTGAAACCTCCTTCCCCCCTCCTGCCGGCCAGGACGGTGGAGTGCGAGTGCAGTACTTCGGAGAACAGAAGCGGACCAAGGGGGTCGCCCTGCTACATGCAATGCTCGCTGCCAGCGCCCAAGCTGCAGCGTGTTGTGCCCGCCGTAGCACCAGTGACACCAGTGGGATGGTTATGGGAAGTGCTGCTGGGGCTGCCGCAGGATCTCGGCTCGGCTGACCGTGTCGAAGGCGCTTACGAAATCCAATTTCAGCAGCACATGGTCTTCCTGCTGCTCGTGCCGCTCGGTCCACTGCCGCACCGCGTGGACTGCGCGCTCGCAACCAAGCGGGCCCCCACGCCGGTCAGTAGCGGCCAAAAGAGTTTTTGCGCCCGCTCCTTCATTGCCCGGCAGAGGGTCTTCGCGGCCAGGCGGCGCAACACTCCCCGACGGCAGCGGGGCGGATGCCGCCGATCTGTTCTCGGACGCCATCAGGGCGGCACCACCCAGTGCCGGGGTTAGCGAGCGTGGCGCGCTGCCGCCAGCGAGCACGCGCGCCGCCTCTGCGAGGAGGTCCGCCACAGAGGAGGCTTGCGCGGGCGGGCGGGCATCGGGGAAGTGCTGCGCCCAGAGATCTGACGGGCTAGCGCCGCTGCCCTTTCGGAAAAGACATGATGGCGCCGACGGCGTGGTCACCGGTGGGGCGGGGGGCTGGCGGGGGGCCGACCTGCCCGCTTTCCCCCGCCGCGACGCGGCGGCGTTCTCCGAAAGTTCGGCGCGCTCGCCGCGTGCCCAGCGAGCCAGGCGGCTTCCGCTGCAAGCGAGGACCCGCGGCCCTGGCGCGGCGGTCGCGTCCGCGGCGAGGCGGGGCTGTCCGGGTCAGTCTGGGCCACGCGCCCGCGGGCTCTGCCGCCCGACGCGCGCGTCAGTTTCGGCGGAGCCAACTACATTGAGCAGGAGGGATTGCGCCCCCAGGGCGGGCCAGCTTGACGCCGAGGAGGGAGCTCGAGGGAGGCGAGGGAGAGGGAGAGAGAGAGAGAGAGAGAGAGAGAGAGAGAGAGAGAGAGAGAGAGAGAGAGAGAGAGAGAGAGAGAGAGAGAGAGAGAGAAAGAAAGAGAGAGAGAGAGAGAGAGAGAGAGAGAGAGAGAGAGAGAGAGAGAGAGAGAGAGAGAGAGAGAGAGAGAGAGAGAGAGAGAGAGAAAGAAAAAACACAAAACAGAGAGAGAGAGAGAAAAGAGAAGAGAGAGAGAGAGAGGGGAGAGATGAGAGAGAGAGGAGAGAGAGAGAGAGAGAGAGAGAGAGAGAGAGAGAGAGGAGAGAGAGAGAGAGAGAGAGAGAGAGAGAGAGAAAACAAAAAACAAAACAAAAAAAAAAAAAAAAAAAAAAAAACGAGATAGATAGAGAGAGAGAGATAGAGAGAGAGAGAGAGAGAGAGAGAGAGAGAAGAGAGAGGAGAGAGAGAGAGAGAGAGAGAGAGAGAGAGAGAGAGAGAGAGAGAGAGAGAGAGAGAGAGAGAGAGAGAGAGAGAAGAGAGAAAGAGAGAGAGAGAGAGAGAGAGAGAGAGAGAGAGAGAGAGAGAGAGAGAGAGAGAGAGAGAGAGAGAGAGAGAGAGAGAGAGAGAGGGAAACAACAACAAAAAAACAAGAAACAAAAAACACCCCCGCATTCTGGGGCCCCAGAAAGCCGAGTGCTTAAGCTATAAAACAAACAACTAAGCTGGCTGGG